GGCCCCACCCCGCCCACTCCATCCTCCCTCCCCAATCCTCACTCACTTTTGAAGGCTACGGGCAGTAGTTTGGGATGCAGGAGGGATTCAGGACTGGGAATGGGGTTCGGAATGTGGGCTCCAGCTGGGCACCACTTACTACCACTTACAGGTGGCTTCTGGGTGGTGCTGCAGGGGGGTAAAGCAGGCTTACCCCTACTCTGGCCCTGCACCACTCCCAAAAGCAGCCAGCAAACTCCCTCCATCCCTGCCCCCCTCTGCTCTGTAGAGATGTAGTACATGGTGGAGGGAGGGACACCCTGACATCAGCACTCCTCGTCCTCTTCTTCCTGTGCCCTGCACAGCAAACAGGAGACTCCAAGGGGTGAGGGGCACCTCCAAGGCAGAGGGCAGGAGCAGCACAGCAGTGCTTAGAGGGGCAGATGAAGTGTTTGCATTTGATAGCTTCCCAGCGGGGGCTGCGGAGGGGACAGTCTGTCACACAGGAGCCAGGATTATTGGGGCAGATATTCCTGACACTGTCACAGAAAAAAAAAAGAAATGGTCTGGTAGCACTTTATAGACTAACAAAACATGTAGATAGTATCATGAGCTTTCGTGGGCACAGCCCACTTCTTCAGATGACTGGAGTTATGAGTTTGGGACATGTACACCCCAAATAAATAGGAGAGGGGAAGGAGAGGTGGGAGGGAAGAAAAAAGCACCCGGGTGGGAGACAGAGCATCAGTAAGTATCTGAAGATTGGCTAGTTAAACCGAAGCAGATAAAAATCAAAGTCAATAGATAGATTCCCATGTCAGGAAGGATACAACACCTGTTTGCACCTTCAATGGTTGTTAAATTGGTAATGTCCCAACCAACTTTCATCACGACTGAGTCCCTTAGCTTCGAAAGAGAGCATCCAGACTCACTGGGTGCTTTCTTTCGAAAAAGCGGCTTGCTTTTTCGAAAGTTCCGCATGCAGTCTAGACGCTCTCTTTCGAAAGAGGCTTGCAGTCTAGACATAGCCCCGGAGGTTTCTGTATGTTTCCTTTGCGTAGATCTGATTTGTGTCCATTGATTTTTTCCCGCAGAGACTGTCCAGTTTGTCCAATATATATAGCAGTGGGGCACTGCTGGCATTTGATGGCATAGATCACATTAATGGATGTGCAGTCAAATGACCTTTTGATTTGATAGCTTATGTTGTTGGCTCCAGTGATGAATTCGCCAGTATAAATATGTGGGCAGAGTTGGCATCTTTTTTGGTCGCAAGTGTGGAAGATAACGAGCCTTTACTCTGCGTTGTGTTTAAGCAACAAGTTGCCAGAGGCAGTTTATTCGAGCAATATTGCAAGGGAAGACAGCGTAAGCGGATCTTCAAATACAAAACAATTAAGAGCCAATATATAGACCTTTTTGTTACATATAACATTAAACAATTACTTCCCTGCCCACTTAGTTCCCATCGGACACTGTTTTATCTTATGGTTCTTACTGAGGTAAGCATTCCACTCTTATCTTGGAGAGAGAGACAGAGAGGCGAACACAGCGTCTCTTCTAGCTCTCACATTAGCAGGAGTCAGAGTGAACCAGACTCTTGCTCTGCTACTGACAAACCCTGAAATGGCCACCCAAATCTCCTTTCCCTTAGTCCTGCTTCCACACAAGGCTGGGTTCCTGGAGGCTTATGATGTGGTTGTGTAGCATGGTTACCAGAAAGAATTTGTTTCTGGTTAGGGGATTGTCTGTAAGCAAGACGTTTCACAGAGGTAGCTGAGTTAGTCTGTAACACGAAAAACTTAAAAAACAACAAATAGTCTGATAGCACTTTAAAGACTAACAAAACATGTAGATGGTATTGTGCACTTTCACAGGCACAGCCCACTTCTTCAGATGCCCAAAATGTTGCATGTCCAGAACAGTTATTTTGACCTTATGATCTATAGATACATACAGACATAAGGCCAGTCAAACTCCCCCTTGCCTCTCCAGCAAATGAGAACCAGGTTATGAGCAGGCGAAATGACATCTGGCTGTCAATCTTTATTTATTTACTAAAGGTGCTCAGATCCAATCTCAAATCCTCCAGAAGGCAAATTTTCTTGTCCCATTCTTTGCCAGTGCAAATGTTGTGGCTTTAATGATTTCTCCTCTCAATAGGGCTCAGATTAAATGTGGTTGTATCAACAAAGCAGCCCAGAGATCTAATAACATCCATCTTCTCACTCTGTCATAAGGGGATGCTTATAACCCATCTCCTTGAAATGCCCATTCCCAGAGAGGCCTTTAACCATTGTGTTATCAATTGGTTTCACAGAGGAATAAACAGCGAAAACGATGCATGCATTCACACACATACAGGGAAATTCCTTTCACACATCCAGCGCCAATGCAAATCTCAATCTTGATGAAATTAGGCCTAATAAAAAGCCAGATGGCTCATCATTTCCATTTGATCCAGAAGACTTCTGCTTAATGGCCCAAACGCTCTGCACCACACGTGGGGAATAGATCTTTGTGTGGGATAAAGACCTATTATTCCTCTTCCAGGGAAATTCCTATTCAGTGAGCCCAAATTTCAGGCCCCAAGAGTGGAGAAGTGGCTGATTAAATCGTGCTCTCTCTGATCAGATATAAAGATTAATCTGGAGGGGTGGAGGGTGTCAAAAGTCAGTGGAAAACATTCCAGAAAATGAGAATGACCTTGGCTTGGAGTTGTTTATCAATTGCAGCACCATGGTATCTGAGCCCCTACTATGGGTTCTTTACAGTGGAAAGACCCCCTAAAAACCTGTTACCAAAGAGCCAGTCCAGCTCCAACATCTGGACAGACGCCGAGGCTTCATGCCATCTCCACTGCTATTCCCCTAGACTGACGTCTCGTGTAACCAAAGGGACAGCCCTTCCCGTTATGCAGAAGAGCTCCCAATAACGGGAACCACCCGCAGAGTTCGCACATTACTGATGACATGCTGAACAGTCAGGGCATGAGCTCACCCGGCATTAACACGGAGACCATGGTGACTCCGTGTTGCCTGTGGGGCTCCCGTTCCCTTGAGGCCTGGCGGGGCGCGTGGGCAGGGCTGGGTGGGGTTCCATAGCACAAGCCGTGCCAACACTGGGTGGAATGGTGTAGCTGGGGTGTTGAGAATCACCCCACAACCCTGCTGCTCTCTCCTGAAAGGTTTTGCTGGTCACATGATGCTGCCGAGAGCCCCCCCATTGGTGGGCTCAATCTTGCCCTGCGCGTGTGAGAGAGGGTCACTTGGACCAGGCCAGAGGATGTCGTGTTCAGGAGTCTTTACGCAGGGGGAGCTCTCGCTCGCCCTGGGGCTGGGCCCGGCCTCTAGAAGAGGAGAAGTGCGCCGAGCTGTAGCGCACAGGGAGCTCGCCCCCCGGCTGGGAAACGGGATGTAAATGCACAACCACCTTCATGTGCTGGTTGACCCCAACCTCCCGGCCAGACTGTGACTGGCTCTCCCAGCCTCCCAAAGCCGAGAGCCAAGGCCTTGCCCAGCTGGGGCCAGAGCCACCGTTTCCTGCGAATGCTTCTGACCATGCAGCTTCGCTATGGGGGGAGCTCCCTGCAGACCCAGGGAGAAGAGCGAATGCTGCTGCTGGGCCAGAGCGGCCGCTCCCGCCTGCCCTCCCGGGCAGAGTCTGCATTTGCAGCAAAGCCCCAGACAGCTGGGCACTCAAGGCCCAGTCCTGCTTGTAACCCCATGCTGCACGTAGGCCTGAGAGACGGGAAAAGGCGACAGGTGAGAAAAGGCAAGAGAAGATGCTCCCAGACACCCCTGAAGCCAGGCCAGGGGTGCAATTCAATCTGCGAGAAGGGGAGGAGGGAGCCACTTGCAAGGTCCCCGTTTGGAGCTCAGGGTGAACCCCTACAAAGGGGGGTTGGTTCAGGCATGTCCCCGATTTCAAAGCAATGCTCTTCGTGGGAAAAGTAGACTTCAGAAGACACCCAGGCCAATGCTGTCCCGCTAGACATTCCGGGAGGAAGAGATTTTCTTCACTCTTCATGCACAAGACACCAGGGCAGAGGCGGGGAACCTTTTTTGGGGGTCAGGGGCCACTAACCCACAGAAAAATCATTCGGGGGCCACACACAAGTGAGAAGCCCCTGACTGAGAAGGAAAAAGACACTCCCCATATTCCCAGAGCCTAGAGGGACCCAGGCTCGTAGATTTTGTGTGCTCCAGCCCAGTGGTGGGTGACGGGGGGTGGAAGCACCAGCTTGGGCTCCCCAGTGCGGGGGGGGAGGGGAAGGGATTCCTGAGCCTCCGGGGCTGGATCCAGGCAAGCTGGTGGATGCATTTAGCCCCTGGGCTTGAGGTTCCCCACCCCTGCACTAGGGAATTCCCTCGGCATTTAAATCAGGTTCTAACTTCACTCCTCAGCCTCCAAGCCAGCGAGAACATACATGGCAACAATTGCAGCTTTCTGAGCCCACTGGTCACATCTGCAAGACTTAGAATTCTCTTGCACGCTCCAGACCGCACCCTCTCCCCTCCTCTCACCAGGTACCAGTGCAATTAAGAGAACACACTCTTCTCTAGCATGCATGTTTATGGGATCTGCAGGGCTCCCCGGCAAGTGCTGTTCCGCAATGACAGAGCAGCTGTGTGTATGGGAGGGGGATGCTCTGCAGACCCTGCCTCTTCCTCGATTGCTCTACAGGAGCACAGAAAAGCAGGTAGCAGGGTGAGTGACGCAGTCAGGCAACCCTGAGCAAAACACACGGACACAGGTGGCCTCAGAAGAGCAGGCTGCAGATGAACAATGACAGGATGGGGCTGCCGCACAGCTCAAGGAGAGCAAAATGCTCTTCTCCTTGCCAGCCAAAGAGAGAGTTAAGTTCTCTCCTTTCCATGGGCTACTGAAAGCCGATCAGAACCTCTCCAACCAATCGTGGCTGTGGCAGGAGCTCAGAGGTGGCTGGAGATGGGTGGAGGGGAGGTATAAAGGCTGGTCACCAGAGACTCAGAGTGACATTGCAACAGGAGAGACTGGAAGGGAAGAGGAGCCAGAGACGCACTGTCACCCGGGGAGACACCGCAACACGACGATGAACCCGAAGCTTATTTTCTCCGGTGGATTTCTGATGCTGCTTCTCCTCAGCCAGGACCAAGCAAGAGCTAAACCCATCTCCAGTTTACAGGTAAGAGAACAGCTGCTCGTTTCAACATCGGGTGGCTGATGATGCCTTGCAAATGAGAATTACTTGCTCCAAAGCTTCAGACTCAATATGGCTCTTCTTAGCCCTCTCTGGCTGCTGGAAGACGCCCAAGGGCTCAGGACATCAGGGTCACCAAGCGGGCAGACAGAGGTTATTAATGGAGCAAAAGCAAAACTATTCCTTGACTGATTTCTGTCTCAAGGGGCTTCAGATAGTTGGAGGCCAAGTGCTGTTTGTTCCCTCAGCGGGAGGGAGGCTGCAAAGTTTAGGGGCAGTCTGGGATTGGGTGAAGTTATGAAACTTCAGAGGGAAGGAAGCTGCATGTTCTTACCCAGAGCAGGATTTTAATAGGATTCAAAAAAGAGCTACCTACATTCATGGAGGGCAGGTCCATCACTGGCTAGTAGCCACGATGGGCAGGGATGGTGCCCCTGGCCTCTGTCTGTCAGGAGCTGGGAATGGGCGACAGGGGAGGGATCACTTGATTCCCTGCTCTGTTCATTCCCCCTGGGGGCCCCTGGCATTGGCCACTGTGGGAGCACAGGATACTGGGCTAGATGGACCTTTTGTCTGACCCAGTGTGGCCGTTCTTCTGAGCCTGGCTGCCCTCCCATCTGGAGCTCTGACCCAGGCACTAGCAAGCTCATCCCTTCAGTTCCTAAGCTGCCTTGGTCTTTAGCAGGAGTCTCTGGTTCAGGCAACATGATATTAAACAAGCAGGGGAATCGTCTCGCAACAGAACGGCAAAGGATTCAGTCTCTTGCTTGAGAACCTGGGAGAGAGGCGGAATCCTCAGCTTTTAATAAAAAAGCATTTTAAGTATCTCTGGTAGGAAGAATTTCTCCTAATTATCCCATCAGCAGCCCAACATCCCTATATACACCATGTAACCCTGCAGTCCCCGCAGAGCAAATCCTTCCAGCATCAGGCTAGCCTCTCCCCAGCCACTCCCCCACCTCCATCCTTTTCCTACTCTTCCTTTAGTCCCCCCCAAGCCTCTTCGTTTACCATCCCAGGCACCAGGCTCTCAGCTTTAGGAGAGCCTCTTCTTACACCCCTCAATTTCCATGACCACGTCAAACTAAGATCGCAGCAGTCTATGCATTGGCGACCCAGCGCGCTACGGAAAATGGAGTCACTGGGACAGTGAAGAAGCAAGATCATTACTTGGCTGACGTGCTAGCACATTTTCTTGTCTACACCAAGCATCCAATGGGGTCTTTCCAAATTAGCAGCGATGTCAATAATCAACGGAGTCGCTGAACCACCATCCCTCCTCCTCTCTCCCCATTGTCTTTCAGAGCCTGTCCAGATTGCTAGAGGAGGAGCAGGAGCATCCCCTGGCCTCAGAGGAGATGGACCAGGAGCGAGAAGACATGATCCCCGCAGGTGCCTTCGACCTACAGGATTCCGAGCTCCAATGGGCCGGACACTCCAGGGACCAGCCCGAGAGGGGCCCCGTGAGCGACAGTACTTTCCAGAGGCTCTTCAGCGATCTCCTGGGTTCATCCAGGAGATACAGAGGCAGGAGCAAAAAGGGCCTGTCCAGGGGCTGTTTTGGTGTCAAGCTGGACCGAATTGGCTCCTTGAGCGGACTGGGATGCTAACTGTTCATGAGGGTAAGAGGAGACTGTGTGTGTGTGTGTGTGTGTGTGTGTGTGTGCGTGTGTGTGTGTGTGTGTGTGTGTGTGTGTGTGTGTGGCGGGCGCTGTGTGTGTGTGTGTGTGTCTGGCAGGGGTAGGAAAACACAGAGGAGGAAGAATTTAAGGCTGAAATGGAAAGAAAAGAGCCGTATAGCCCTTACCATCCCTCCTTCCCTCAGGATCAGCTTCACCCTCGTGCAACTACACGGACGTCCCCGGCACCGCCTACACATTTGGCTCATTCATCTCACCCCCCACCCCCACACTTTCCTCTTCACCTCCTCCGCCTTCTCCAAATCAGCTGCCTGTGGTTTGTCCTGCCTCAGAGCAGGGTAAGCAAGCAGAACCGGGCCCTAGAAGAGGGAAATTAATTAGCTCCCATTGGTGAGACTTTACTGCTTTCCTCTCTGTCACTTATTCCTTCTGTTTCCTTGGCAGGACTAAGATTTTCAGGACCTGGAGGACCCACTGCCTTTCCATGAGATGTCCAACTCAAATTGTTCCCACTCCCTTGTTGACGTTGCCTGGAAGGAGTTCCTCCAGTGCCATCCCACACTGTCGAAACGGGCCATTGTAGGTATCACTGTATAAACTTAGCCAGACTGTTCTCTCTTTCGTTTATCTATCTTGTTTATAGGCCATATGTATGAAAATGCTCTCCCAGAGCTGTCCTCATTGTGCTGAAAATACATCAGTTTTCAACAGATGTTGAATTTATTTCAAACCTCCCCTCTGATTTTCTTCCTCATCCATCATTCCTGAGGACAAAGGGTTGCCCTGATTTACATCTGATCTAATAAATATGAACTATTCCAATTCATCTGAATGCTGGTCAATGGCTAACATGCATGTCCTGAGAGGCTGTCTGAAGAAAAAGGGCATTACTTAAGAAAAGCAGCTTAGGGAGAAAGAAAAGCCCAAGAGAACACAGCGTAGCTAGGAACATAAGAATAGCCATACTGGAGCAGAGCAAAGGTCCATCTAGCCCAGTATCCTGTTTTACAACAGTGGCCAAATGCCAGGTGCCCCAGAGCAAGTGAACAGGATAGATAATCATCATATGATCCCTTTCCTATCACCCATTCCCAGTCTCTAACAAACAGAGGGAAAGGGACACCCTTCCTACCCATTCTGGTTAATAAATACTGATGAACCTTATCTTTCATGAATTTATCTAGCTCTTTTTGAACCCTGCTAAAGTCCTGCCCTTCACAACATCCTCTGGCAAGGAGTTCCACAGGTTGACTGTGCATAGTGTGCATAGCTGACGTAACAGCCCTCAGCAGGGATCAAACCCTCACCCTGTAGCACCAAAGCATTTGTCTCTGTCACTTGAGATAAAGGGGTAACTTCATGAATTTACAGCAGTGGTAGGGTGTTATTCTCAATGTGGCCCAGCAGCTAGAAGGGGATGACACACACTTCACAAGCCAGATACAGTGAGCTGATGCCCTTGTGCGTACCATTCTAAGGAAGTTTTCACCTTGTTAAGCGCCACAAAGTCCCAGCTGAAGTGCTTGTGGGAGGTTTGCATGTCTAAGGCTCAGTCTTGTCTAGAAAAACATTGTTCTCCTTCAAGGGAAGCTCATGGCAAACCCTACTCCCTCTTATGCACGGATCACTTGGGACACAGGCTATTTTTCTGACAAAAGTCAAGGTTATGTCCAAAATTACCCAGGTCAGCTCTTTGCAACAAAGAGTTTAGCCACTGAACCTAGCCCTGTTTTCCTGTGTCTCAAGCTACATCCACACTACAGCCTGTGTAGCAACCTCCTCAGCCACGTAAGTTACGCCGTCATAAGCGCTCACGTGCAGAGCTCTGTGTTGGCAGAAGAGCTTCTCCCCCTGACACAGCTTGTGCTGCGTGCGGAGGTGGTTTTATCATGCCATCGGGAGCGCTCTCTCCTGTCGGCACGGAGCATCGTCACCGGACGTGCGGCACCCACACAGCTGCAGCGCGGTAACTGCAGGCCTGGCCCCAGACTGGTTCAGGGTTGCTTGATGTGTGTGAACGTAATTCGGTCCAAAGGCTGCTCACTGAGGAGAGGAGTGGGCAGCCCCGACGCAGGGGAGCAGTGCCACTGACATCATGGGGACTGTTCAGATAGGAACAGGGGTCAGGTTATTGGGCACAGACGGTCGGCTGCCTGCCAGGATAGTCCAGCAGATTTTCAGTGCAGATCCCCCCTTGGCTGGACTGTGTATGTAAGCCCCACTGTGGTGCTTCCCTTCCCTGATTGCAAGAGTTGCATTCTTAAAAGCAGGTGTCCAGTGACAACTCTTCCAATCACTGATCTGAAATTTACTTACTGTCCTGAGCAAACACTCTGCCTGGAAACTGGCTCTCCACAGCATTCCCAGAAAGAACACCCAACAGGGGTGCACAGACACCCTCAAAACCAAATCACCAACAACTGGGCACTGACAACCCCAGTGGAAGTCAAGGGAAGCTGTGAGCACAGCTATTTCCTGCCAACAGGGATCTTGCACCTGTCAAATAGCTGCAGCTGGTGAGTATGGCTGCATGTCAGTCTCAGGTGTGAGCGGAGCTCATGTAGACGTAATCCAGCTAGTCTGGGTACCCCAGAGCACTGAAGCTGCAGCAACAGGACTTCAATATGGGCCGTTCAAGCCCTGCAGAACCCTGGGTAGTTACTCGAGCATCTAGCCCAGGCTGTTGCAGCTTGAGGCTTCACTGCTCCAATATCCTAGGACTTGGAGCAAAGCTAGGTCAGCTATGTTCGGATCTGGCTACCTGAGCTGCAGGGCAGACACACGTGTTGTTCCTAGACCTGCTCTTATCCATGGTGTGTCTAGGGGAGCCCATCCTCCAAGCCTTCCGTGGCTTTGTTGACTTCTTTAGCGCTCCTGTGAAATCCAGAAGAGTTCTGGAGGATTTACTCCAGTACACATCAGAGACATGTGCCACTCAGCCAGCAGCATTGCCCCAGCTGGAAACCAGTGTAAAGCAAGTGCGGATTCCTACCTTGTATATTTTCAAGTACACTTCTGCATGCAAACACACTCCCCAGGGGAATGCTGCAAACTCATGTTCACAGTTCCATGGAAACTATCAGAACCCCCTGAGGGGAGGGGACGAATTACTTGCCAGCAGAGGTGTCCTTTTCTCTCTCACTTGTGGTTCCACTTTATCCTTTATAAATCCTTTTAACATTTAGAAGTCACCATCTGTTTATTCGCTCCTGCTACTCCTTTATCTCCCTTTCATTTCCCTTTTATCCCTGGTTCTGTCAAGTTCCTTATTCTCCACATTTCAAGAGAGAAAACAAAACAACCACCCCCCCAAAAACACTATTTTCTCCTCAAAGCAGACACACAAGCTTAGTGGATTGATCTCAAGCAGCCAATGAACTGACGATCTCACAGCCCAGGAGTGGGAAAGTCCAACAGTCATTCCTGAAGGTAGCTGTCTTAGCATTCACCATATATTCTATGTAAGGGTATGTCTACACTTGCACCCTTTTTTGAGAGAGGGATGCAAATGAAGACAATTGAAATTGCAAATGAAGCTGGGATTTAAATATCCCACACTTCATTTGCATATTCGTATTATGTCGCTATTTCGAAAAAAGAAACGCAGTCTAGAAGCAGTTATTTCGAAAGAAAACCCTTCTCTCAAAATAACCCGTATTCCTCATACGAGGTTTACCAGTTATTTCAAGAGAAGGGTTTTCTCTCAAAATAACCGAGTCTTAACAGTGTCTGTTATTTTGAAATAGGGCTATTTCGAAATGGCGCCATAATGTGAATATGCAAATGAAGCGCGGGATATTTAAATCCCGGCTTCATTTGCAATTTCGAATGTCTTCATTTGCATCCCTCTCTCGAAAGAGGGTGCAAGTGTAGACATACCCTAAGAGACCAACTTTGTTTTTCATTCTTAAAAATTAATCAGCTGTTATCACCGAGAATGAACAAAACGGTCTCTTTGCTTAGGCACACAGGGCCAGGAAAAATTAATCAGCTGTTATCACCAAGAATGAATAAAACAGTCTCTTTGCTTAGGCACACAGGGCCAGGTTAAGACCTTTAGAGGCCCTAAGCACTGAAAAGATTATGGTGCCCTTCATATGTAATTCAAAATAAAAACAACGCTATACTGTAAAATCTCAGGTTTTTTTGGTGCCCCTGCTTTGCTGGTGCCATAAGTACATGCTTAGTCTGCCTATTGGGTAATCCAGCCCTGGTGAGTCTACAGGACCTTAGTTTAAAATTTGCTTTAAAATTATATCATTAGGTGTTGCTGAAAATCATAAAATTAAATTTTTTAAAAAATTGCCCCTCCATTCCGACTGCCATCAGGAATAGGGGCATCCATTTCATAGTACTGCATAGCCCGCACCCCATACATCCAAAGGACAGCCCTACTCTATAGGCTTATTTCCTGAACATCCTCTGCCAGTCTCTGGTCTCCATTTCACTGGTGTACACCCAGGGTCAGTGAAGTTACTCCAGATTCACACTTTTGTAATGGGGATGAGAATCTAGATCGCTGTGGTTTAGGACTAGGAACGGCCCACTTTTGAACAGAATCCTACAGAAGGTAAACAAGGGCGTACCTGAAATGGACAAGAACTCCAATTCTACAGAGGATGCTGTGATGCCAGCTAAACCTATTACCCGGGCATTTTGTGTCATCCTTTTAAAATGTTGTTTTTCAAAATGTCATGAGAACAATTTACATCACATCAAAGGTTCTCTAATTAAATCCCAAGGACTCACGCTGGATGTGTTTGCCCTTTAGGTAACTTGCTTATTACGAGGAGTATTTAAAATGTTCCCAGCTAACCTTAATTTAGTCTCCTAGCAAGCTAAATGGGGAAAAAGCTCATTGTTCCAGAAGCATTGTTGTTTCAGTCTGGCTGGAGCAGACTGAACAAAGCAGCACAGCATGGATTTACATACAGAAGGTATGAAAGCAGGTGAGAAGACCAGAAGTGCCTTTTCCTCTTCCTTAATGACCAAAACCACATTCTGTCGAATGCTAGGAATGGAGTACAATGACCTCTGACCTCGAAAGCCTCGAGGTGTCATCTCACTCAACATGTTGAGAGAGATGATCAGAACCTCCCAGCATGCAGCTTGTGTGCAAGTCAGTTCTGCTTATTTCATTGTCATAGGGCTAAATCCCTTTTCAGGCAACATTCCTGTGGTACTCCTGCTCCAAAGGCCACTGAATTCAGCAGAAAGATTCCTGACTTCAGTAGGCTTTCGATCCAGCACTGGGGGATGTATTATTACCATGGCACCGTCAGGACCCCAGCAGAGATCAGGACCAACATTCCCTTCAATCTTTTCTGTCCAACTGCAGAATAAATTTTATGTGCACTGGGGCATGTGCGAATGTGCACCACCACTTGAATTATTCCTAAGTGGCTGCACAAGTGCCCAGCTTACAGGGAGCACTGATCAGGGCCCAACACTGTACAGAGTTTGCAGGCTAAATAGACAAGACAGAAAGGTTGGGAGGGGGAAAAGGGGAAGTGACTTTCCCATGGTCACTTGGCAAGCCTGTGGCAGAGCCAGAAACAGAAACCAAGATTCCCAATGGCTAGGCCAGTGCCCTCACCACTGGAGAACGCACCCTCTGTGTCGTGTATTGGCCTTAGGACTACGTGAAAATTGACCCCAGTGCCCTCGCCACTGGAGAACACACCCTCTGTGTCATGTATTGGCCTTAGGA